GTGCCATCAAGTCAGTTTTGACCCATAGTGACCCTGTATAGGATTTCTGAGGAACAGCTGGTGAGTTTGAACCACCGAGCTTGCAATTCCAATGGCTTTGCAGTCTGGCGCATTAACCCACAACACCACACCAGGACTCCATTAAGGACAGTTGTTGTTTGTTGTTAAGTTCCAACGAGTCAGTTCCTACCCATAGCAACCCTGTCTAGGGTTTCAAAGGAGCAGCTAGTGGGATCATGTTAAGTCATGTCTAGACCAATTTCTTGCATCTAAAATAAGAAATCTTAGAGAATTGGCCCATTTTGGCAGTAAAAATTAACTACAGCTTTATTTAGGCTTTAACTGTTACTGCTGGTGAGTCATTGTAAGATTAGCACTGGACTGTGAACCACAGGATTGGCAGTTCAAGCCCACCAGCTGCTCCTTGAACACATTCTGCAGGGTCGCTCTAAGTTGGAACCAACTTGACAGCACTTAACAATTAGAACAACTGTTACTTTGGGGTAGCTATGAGTTGGAAATGACTCCACAGTACTTAACAACAACTGTTACTTTTATTTTAATTAGATCCTTATGTCAAAGTGTCTCTGATGTGTGAAGGTCGAAGATTAAAAAAGAGAAAAACAACCACAAAGAAAAACACTCTTAACCCTGTGTACAACGAGGCCATTATTTTCGATATACCTCCCGAGAATGTAGACCAGGTCAGCCTCTCCATTGCAGTCATGGATTATGATAGGTAAGTGTATCTGTCTGCCTCCTGACTGAATAATGTGGTTGTTGTTAGTTGTTCTGTCAATTGTCACTCATGGTGACACTGTGTGTGCACCATGGGATTACTCCATAGGATTTTCAATACTGTGTCCTTCTGAAATGCCTCTGGGAGGGTTTGAACTTTCTGGTTAGTAATTCAGCCCTTCACATTTGCATCATCCAGGGACACTTCACTAAGTGAGATTGATAAAGAACTCAGTTTTTGAGGTTTTTACTGCTAAAGATATTTGAATTCAGATTGCAAGAGGAATAATAATTCATTCAAAATCCATTGTTTTCTATGCTATAGTTTTTTGGGTTATTTTTCTTTTTCAAGAGAAGATATTCTTAAATTAAAAGGCAGTACACTTGGGTTTAGTGAAAAAATACTTCCAGAAGCAGTAGTGAATAAATTATAGAAAGCATTGTTGTGAAGTCTTCTTAGAGCAATAACAAGGATCACAAACAGGAGAGCTCATTTTTCCAACTGTGCTAAAATATGAGCTACTTGATTCTTGCCCACCCAAGCTTTATCATTAACTGGTTGTGTAAAAGGACAGTTACCTCATCTCTTTGGGATTCACTTAATCCCATTTGTGAAGCATTAGTATAACATGCAATTATGAGCAAGGGGTGTTTAGAATGTAAGTAAATAGTGGTCACAGTGATACAACTCTGATGCTTTCCCATTGATGTTAAACATTGCCTTGTGATATCATTTTTCCAGCTCACATACTTCCTTTTACACAGAATAAGCTGAAACTTCCAGTGCAGTTCTAAAGAGTCTTCTTGATGCAGTTTTCCACTTCCTTGTTTCTCCTTGTGAGGAATGTGCTCGGTGTATCTGATTTTGTATCGGGTACAATCCAGCCCTGCTTAGTTTAACTCTACTATGAAATATTTCTTAGAAAACTAACCTCCCCTTTATCTTTTCTCCCTCTGAACTCTCCCCACTAAATGTTCAGACCTCTTATTTGACCCTTAATGTATATTCTCTCTTACTGTTTTGCTTATTATATTTATAAACCTTTTGGAAAAAAAATATTAATATTGAATCTATAAAATTATCAATACATAGACAATCCCTTACTATATTAATTTTTGTCTAAGGATGGAAGCAGTGGTACAAAATATACATATACAAATACACTAATAGATGTCCATTTTGTCCTGAAGATGGGAGTACCCAGGAATCTGGACACCAGGGAAATGTGTCACCCTCTGACTTAGAGCTATCAAAGCTAAGCACCGAGACATTAAAAACCAAAATTATTTATCTAAGCTATTTGAAATGAATGCATTTGTATCAATGTATGAATATGTGTGCGTGTGGAGAGAGATCTTGAATTAATTGACATTTCAAACTCTAAAAATATCATTAATGTTTCTATAAGTAGTCCTTATCCTGTTTTACCAATTACCCCTACTGATTTCTCACAGTAAAGATTGAAGATAGATACAATTGGGCACCTGCTCCCAAAATTTTATGAAAATGGATCTTGATGATAAATAAAACAGAAAATTTTTAAAAATTATTATTTCTGAAAAAAATGCTTCTTGTGAAATCTCATACTGAATAAAGTGATACTAAACATACAGCTCTATATCAATGGCATTAAGAAAGGAATGAAATGTCCTAGTATCTTCAAAAGTCTCCTCAGAAATGTCTGTCAAAAATAATGGTAATAGCTACCCAAAATGGGGGGGGGGGGGCTACAAAGGCAAGAAGTGACTGGTTTACAAGCTTTCAAGAGGGAGTAGATAGGGATGGGCAACTTGGACATTGGCTACCCAAAAAGGGGGGGGGGGGACTACAAAGGCAAGAAGTGACTGACTTACAAGCTTTCAAGAGGGAACCTAGATCCAGAGGGCATGGAGGAAGGTAGACTGTCCACTGAGTAGTATC